AAGGTGTTCTGAAGTGTGGGAATAGATGATTGGAGGTAAGGAGAAGTGAGGGAATTGATGATCTGCGCAAGCGTAGTCCAGCTTCATGGCTCTTCCATAGGATGCATGCTCACAAAATGGCGGCATTGCCATGATCTGAGGGTGGAGTTTTTACTTCCTGACGTCAAAGGGTCATTTATTGGTCATCTTCGCAGGCCCAGTTGATGAGTTGGTGGTCTCAACCAGCCTGAACTGGACAAGGAGTCGATTCTCAGTTCCTGAAAAACTTAAGCGCCCCACGTGTTACCGTGGTGACCCAAGCAGCCAAGATGTTATCTATGGGGTGGGCTTCAGTAATGCATTATCTGACTACTTTTGCTAACAGACAACTAATTAAGTATAGTTAAAGCAAGTTGTGTGAGTGAGTGTGTGTGTGTGTGTGTGTGTGTGATGTATTTTATGTTAGAAATAGTATTATTTGTAGAGTTTAACCAGTGAGAATATATACAGAAATATTTTTTAAAGACATAAAATGACTTTAGATAAATATGATAAGTCTCCACTCTCACCTGATGAATTTCACATGCTCCCACCACCATCAGTTCCACCTATTAGTATCATTAGTACTTATTGTACTGCTTCCTTCCTGTTCCTATGCATGAACTAGCATATTCCTTTCTAATGCCTCCTCCTCTCTTCCTTAAGACATCACTTCAGCACTGGCCCTTCTCACTTCTGCATCAGCACCTTTCCCTTACACTGGATTAATACCCTCAGCCTATGAACATGCTATTTGTTTGCCTATGTTTATAAAACCTTCCCTTGATTTCACATCCCTCTCCAGCTGCCCTCTCACTTTTTTCCTCTCCTTTACACAAAACTCCTTGAAAGAATTGTCTGTAATCAGTCTCCACTTCCTGTCCTCCTGTTCTCTCCTAAATCTATTCCAATCAGGCTATCATCCACCCCAGTCCTCTGTAACAGCTCTTGTCAGCCTCCTGAAGGATCCTCAAGTTGCCCAGTTCTATGATCCATTCTTAGTTCTTCTCTTACCTGCCATGTTGGGAGTATTTGATGGAGTGGAAGGTCTCTGTCCGTCATGAAACACCCTCTTTACTGGGCTTTGGGCCACCTCTCTCTCTTGGTTTTTCTCCTGTCTCCTTGACCACTCCTGCTCACTCTCCATCTCCTTACCTTTAAACATGGGAAACCCCAGAGCCCAGTGCTCTGACCTCTTCCCTATCTAACTCTCTCACTTAGTGATCTCATCCACGTGCCTGACTTTAATGAATTCCAAATATATACCTCTAGTTTAGACTTCTCCCTAGATGAAAGACTCTCACGTGTCCAGCCCCAAAGGCGTTTTTGTGCTAATTAGAAAAAGCTGCTCTTTTCCTCAAGCACTTGACTGCCATCTTCTGGAAATTTTTCAGAATAAATATACGTCGATCAGGTGACTAAGAATGTGAATGGTATCTCTTATAGCTGTGTAATCCTCAACCACTAGCAACAGTTCTGTTTCTCTACTTGGGTGGTATTAGGCATCACAAGCTTAATAGGTCCCAAACCGAACTCCTGATTCCCAACCCCCATCACCCCCACCTCTTCCTGTCAGTCTTTTCTATTTCAAAATTCTTCCTGTTGCTGGGGTCACACTCCTTGAAGTTATTCTTGACTCCTCTCTCCCATACCCCACCTTTATTCCATCAGCAAATTCTGTTGGTTTTTCTTTCAAAATGCATTAGAATTTAACCACTTCTCCCTGCTCCCACTGTTGCCACCCTGGTCCAAGCGCCATCATCTCTCAGCTCTGTGATTCCAACAGCCAGCTTCCTCTCTTTCTCCTCATTGTCTATTGTCAACCCAGCAGCCACAGATATTTATTTAAAACCTAGGTCCCGTCATGTTTCCTCTCTACCCAAACCCTTCAAGTGGTCTACCATTCACTCAGAGTAAAAATCAAAGTCCTTAAAATGGCCTACAGCCACTACAAAGTCCAGGCCTGGGCGACAGCCCTGACCTCATCACTATCTCTCTCCTCAGTGTGCTCATGCTCCAGGCCCCTTGGCCTCTTTGCTCTTCCTCCAATATGCCAAGCACACGTCTGCTCCAGGCACTCTGCCAGGATGCTCTTATATAAAGTATGGCGTGCTCCCTCCCTTTCGTGAGTTTTTGCTCAAATGTCACTTTATCATATCAGAGAAGCCTTCCTCAACCAAAGCATCTAACAAAGCAACCCCCCTCCCCAGCATTTAATATCCCCCTTACTGTTCAGTTTTCCCCATAGCACTTAATATCTGACACACATGCATTGTTTACTGTTTCATCTCACTAGAATTTTAAGCTTCATAAGGCTAGAGACTTCTTTTTCTCTCCCTCTGCTATATGCTCGATTTCTAAAACAGTGCCTGGCAAGTAGTAGGAGCTCAATAAATATTAGTTGAATAAATAAATTTATACAGGCTTCCCTAAATCTCCGTGGAACCCTATCCTTAAAAAGACACAAAGGTTTGAGATGGTCCTGCACATTCTAATCTCTCAATTCCAAGATAAAAGCATTTTCAGGAGTCTAAGAATAAATTTAAATCTAATTTGAAAATTGCATTGATTTTACAACCTTCTAGAAGGGCATTAATTTCCTACAGAGAAAGAAGTAGGTGCCATCTAGTGGCGATAAGAGACGTCCACCTTTGTGTAACATTGAAAACATAGTCCCTGATCCAGAAGCTTATTAATTCTATGAAAGTAATAATTATAATAGTCATAAGTCCTCAAGTGTGCATTTTCCACAGCATATATTGAATTTAAAAAGTACAGATCCATTTCTTCCAAATTATTTGTGACTCATTTTTACTTATTAATTTTTGTTTGTTTTCTGGGATCTTACATCTTTTGTTCATCTTTATTTTTCTTATTGTTTTATCTTCTGCTTATCTTTAAATTTTTACATTCACATGATACTGGCCTAGCCGTTGAGTGGTTAAATAAAATAAAGGCTATATCTTCTGAGAATTTATATTCTAATGACAACAGCACCCATGAGGGTAAACTATGTGAAAGAACATGCCAAATGATGCAGTGATCTCTTGAGGCCAGACTTCTGAAGCCTATTGAAGCCTTATTGTTGTATATACTTGCACCACTGAGGAATGAGCTTTGGGGAGTCTTAGCTTGCCGTTTTTTCAGAAAGTGACACATATTATTATATGGAGAAACTAAGATAGAAAAATATTCGTGTCCATTCACGTTGACAGGCAAGACGGAAACCAAATAAAGTCTCTGACTGTCAGTCCAACTTTCGAAAAGTTAGGTCATTACAGTTCTTTGGTAACTTAAAGCAGATTCTCGTTGGTCTACTTCAGGAGCCCATGACCTTTCCAGTCCTGAGTAGCTGAAGTGGGGCTGGGTAATTTGTGTCTGCCACCAGGAGGCCTGAGCAGTGATCAGACTAGCAGGAGAAGTTAGTGAGAGAAGCCCAGGAAGGAGATGGACTCTGTTGCCAATGCTCAGATTAGTCCTGGCCTTTTCACATGGAAGAAGACTTTGAGTAGCTCCAGGGGGCAAAAGTTGGACCAATGGAATATGATAAGAAAGCATATTACATACCAACATTAAGAAACATTTTCCAATAAGAGTTTTTTCCGAAGACATCAAAGCCTCAGTTCCCTGTCAGTGGGAGGGTCCAAGCAGAGGCTGGATGATAACCTGCCAGGGATTTGTTGAAGCTGTTAAGATTCTCTGATTCCTGGAAAGACTTTGCTTTCTCTCTGCACACACTGAAACCCTCCCAACTCGTCAGTATTCTGTTCATACCCCATTTCCTTTTTTGGGCACTGCAGCTTGAAGCTATCTTTCCTGTCTCTACCTTTCCTATGACTTTAAGAGCAGATTAACACTTATTTTATGCTACCTGTGTTAACGTTTTTTCTCTGTGGTATGATCTTTTGCTCCCTAAGCTGATGCTAAGCTACTTGGAGATGGGACCACATCTTAAAGTTCTCTCTCTATCAGCCTTGCCATAGTGGGTGAAAGTCAAATGTTTATAGTAGGGAATGGTAGCAAGACTACCAGTAATTGTCTCAGCTGACATTGGGGCCCAAGATGCTTAGCCTTAGTCTAAGTTTGGTGGAGCAATTCTTCAGCTAGTTATTAGGGAAACTAAGATATTTGTCAAGACTCATTCCCATGTTAAAAATGATAATAATTTTTTTTAGATCTAATAGTATCAGCTTCCTATCTGAGTTGTGTTGTTTATCATATGTGTGATATCTCTGGAACCAGGTATAGAAATTGATGGTACAACAGTTGGTAGGATGTTATTGAAATTTAAAAAACTAATTTTCTGTTATTATATAGTGATTTTAGAGTTTTTTCTTCTGCTTACAGATGCTGATTTTTTTTTTAGATTACAGGTAAATATTTTCTCTGATGTAATACTCTATATCTTTTTTTCTTGAGAAAATATATTTTTAATTACACAAGTTGATGTGGTATTTTGAATAGTATATTTCTAAGCTAAAATATTCCATATTTTATTTCTTTTCAAAGAATTAAGCAAAGTTTGTTTCTAAATCTTCTTGACTTCTGAAGCGATATTTATGTAACTTAGCATTCCATCATAATAAAGTGGTGATATTGAAAAAGGACGTGCTAATAGGATTAGTAGATGGGCTCTCTGTGCACCCGAGATCTAATTTCTTTTGACAGTCAGATGCTGTTTGTTTTATCATTTGGAGGGCCAAAACTCTCTTTAAATTATTTAATAAGACTAAATGGTTTAAGGACTGCTTATAGTACTTAATTGCTTGTCTGAAAATTAGCAAATTTAGCATCCTTAGCGTTTGTACTATGTTTAATATTTCTAAAGTATTAACTCTGCTTCTTAGTAATTGCTGTGTTTTCTCATTCTGATGCTAAAGAGACGATACTGGATACTTTGACTTGTAATTAAAGAAACATTTTTTCCTTATAATTATTGCAAAAGTGCATGAATTTTAAGTTGTATTAATTTTCTTTTGTAGAATATGCTGAATTTCTACATTGCAAAGGAAAAAAATTTACAGATTTTGATGAAGTTCGCCATGAGATTGAAGCAGAAACAGATCGAGTGACTGGAATGAATAAAGGCATTTCCTCCATACCCATTAATTTACGAGTCTATTCCCCACATGGTAAGTAAAATAACAGAATTCCAAATTTTGTCCTCAAAAATTTTTACTACATTAATTAACATACGTTATTTGTATAGAAGATGGTTTGTTCTCTCAAAAGAGTACCGGGTTTCCGGGATAGTATTTGGACACTGCCATAAATGGTATGGTCCAAAGAACTTGTAAAGTTATTTATGGGGAGGCAGGAGGAGATGACTTTTAAAAAGATCAGAATTGTGTAAGTCATTTAAAAAATTTCCTTTATGCTTATTTTAAACTTTTAGAATTCCAAAGAAGTATGCATAAAAACTTCCATTTTTAATATCTTTAAGTCTTTGCAAAAATCTTAGAGGTGCCTGGTACTATGGTTGAGTCTTCCCGTATTGGGTTTTGTTGTAGCTTTATATATTCCTATTTATTCTCTTCCTGAGGAATCAACTGTGATTTTTTTTCCCAGACTATCAGCAGAAACTTATAAATTAGATAACCAATTCATGATGTGTGATGTGGAATAGCCTCTATTCTGACTAAATTTTCAGTGGGGCAGATTTTCATCACGAATCTTCTACCCAGTTCAGTTGCTTTTAAAACAGAGCATGAATGACAAGCTCAAATACGACTTCCCGAGAGGACTTGGGGCCAACACTGTTTTGTGCAGAGAGAACAACAGCCAGGTTGGGCTGGAGTCACTGACTCAGGAGTAGTTTCTTGCTTTCTGGGATGGTGTTCCATCAGTCTGGCCATTTCACCTACACGGTAACCTCATGGCACCACGAATGGCTAACGGCTTTCCAATAGGCCAGGTGGCTAACCCTCTGCAAATAACATATGATGCTTTTGAAGGGAAGGACAGATCTTACTCTGAGAACTTTTACAACGTTTAAAGGCAATGTACAAGACTGGCAGACAGCATATGTACCTATTGTTCAGTGTTTTAATTATAACCCCCTAGTTATGGATATGACAGCTCTCTGAGAAAACATGTTAGGCATACAGATCAGTGCCTTTCAAATTATGTTAAAATGATCATTTGGCATAGCACAATCATATCATAAAAATAGAGAAAACTTGCAAAGCCATTTTATATTCTGTGCTTTTTATTCTACACACAAGCTGGAGTTATTCAGATACACAATATATAAAGCTGAGCTTGTTTTATTTCCACTACAGTGACAGATGATTCTGCATTGTCAATATCTTTAACATGGAGGCTGTATGTAAGACTCTTTTTTCCTCTCCACACAGTGTTAAATCTAACCCTTATCGACCTACCTGGAATTACTAAAGTGCCCGTAGGAGATCAGCCACCAGATATTGAGTATCAGATCAGAGAAATGATTATGCAGTTCATCACACGGGAGAACTGTCTAGTTCTGGCTGTTACCCCAGCCAACACTGATCTTGCAAACTCAGATGCACTGAAGCTAGCTAAAGAAGTTGATCCTCAAGGTGAGTGTGTGGCCTTTAAGAGGAAAGGGAATTAGCTTAAAATGTCAAGAGTTTGGGTATATTTCAAGGTAACACAAATTCTCATAACTTGATTTCATTATTAATTAGATTAGCCATTATTAATATTGTTAGATCTTTTTTATTTAAGATGCTGAAAGAAAATTTACTAGGGAATATAGTCTAAACTATACAAATAAATGTAAGATTAACTGAGATCTAAGAAAATAGGCATTTCTAATCATCATGAACTACTTATTTTAAAAAGCCAGTAAAATAAACTTCTGGTACAGAATTCACACAGTCTCCTTAGTTATTATAAGAGTTACCTGAATATACTCCCAATAAAAAGTCTTTCTATTTTTTGTTTTTGTAAAGCTCTTTTAATGCATGTAAGATATTATTTAGCTTATCATTATTTGACATAAATATATATTATAAAAGCAGAGATTTATTTGTTATTGGCATTTCAGAATCCAAAAAAGTCCCTTATTGATGCTGATGTTTTGATTTTTTTCTTCCTCTGAGCTGAATAACAGTTTAGCTTCAGAGAGCCCAGTGATGGGCCTTTGTGTGTGTCTGTTCAACTAATTATGGAGGGGCACTCAGTGATGTGTCCTTTCAATATGGAGATACACGTTCTCCAATTCTAGGAATTCTTTCTTTTAATAGTTAATTGCTCCCATATTCTCTGTTCTCTTTATCTGGAATTCTTATTAGCATATTAGAACTCCTAGAATGCTCCTTTTTTTTTCAATCTTCCTCTTTTATCATGTCTTTGTCTCTTTGTTCTACTTTTTGCAAGATTTGCTTAACTTTATCTTCAGCTCTTCTAATTAATTTTTCATTTCTGATATCATTTAAAAAGTTCCAACAGCATTTTCTTATTTTGTGAATGTTATTTTTATTTTTTTAAGTAGCATTGCACTCTTGGTTTCTCAAGTGCAATATCTTCTGTAAAGATTTTAATGAGTCTTTTGAGGTTTTGCTTTTGTAATCTATAGTGTCTCTGAGTCAATTTTTTCTGGTTGTTTGTTTTGGTCATTGTCTTTGGTGTCAGAGACCTTTTTCAAATGATTGGTGATCTTTTGCTGCCCATTCAGACATAAGAGTAGAGCACTAAAAAGCTGATGGAAGCTCTGTACATGCATGAATGGGATTCATTGACTAATGGGCTTTACCATAGAGTGATTGGGCTGGGACCTGGCCTTTTTGTTAGAAGACTTCCACAGCTGCTATTAGACTCTTTGAATATTTTCTCTTGAGCTGGTCTGGTATAAGCCTGATGTCCAGAGGTCTTAGAGCCAAGAGGAAGAGTTGAGTTGGTGGGGGAAGGTGGGGTGGTTCTCACTATTCAGCATGTAGACTTTTAATTATTCCGTCTGCTTTCATAATGGCATTCCTGAAGGTCTTCTTGAGTCCAGAGTCCCTCTGGTTCATCTTCTTCTGAAAGTAAATCTTCAGTATTCTGCTTAGGTCAAGGAGGAGTAACTGTGTGATTGTGCAAGATGAGAAAATGGGTGTGGAGATCTAACAGCATCCCATATAAATTTTCAGACACATCTTCTATTTTCAGCTCCTGTTACACCCTGGCTTTGGTGCCTTCAGTTCTTGAACCTTTCCAAGGTTCTGCAATAGTAATTGGTTTATTTCTTCTTTGCTTCTTCAACATCCCTGAGATTGGAGCTTGGAGCAAAGCACGTGGAGACTCCAGATGGCTATATGGGGACCATCAACAAGACTCTCTCTCCAGCGTCAGTGGCTTGGAAGAGCCAGATTATGGATTGGGGCTGGAATGTAGTCATAAAAATGATGCTGGAACACCCCTGTCCAGCAGCCTTCTTGTCCCACAGGAGACAAAGCCATGGTTATCTGACTGGAACAGAGGTAGCACTTCTCTCAGTGAATTCTAGTGAGTACAGCACAATCACAGTCCTGAAAAGTCCACAGTTAGTCCAGATGAAGCTCCATGGAGGAGAGCAGACCATATCCCCGCTCTCTGATTCCTCTTTGGTCAGTCCTTTGTTCTGCCTCCTTGGAGTGGGTTTTTTTCTCAGACAGGCTTTCCTCAGAGGTGGCAAGATGGCTGCAGTTGCTTCTGCCTCATGTTCTCGCAACTTCAAATATAGTAGAAGAAGAGCCAGTGGAGAATCTTTTACTTGTATAAACTCTGAATTTTATAAGAAATAAGCTAAAAGAAAATTGACCAACTAGTATATCCTGTAAAGTATCTGCAGTTGCTCCTTGAGATTGATTGAAATTCTTGCTGTATTTTACTCTCCTTGTGTAGACAGGGAATATTAATGGGCAGTGACTACATCTCATTCTTCAGGCTCCTCAAAAGAAGATTCGTTTATAACCCAAAGCAAAACTCTCGTGTGATGGTGGATCATTGGGTGGGAGCAATTAACGTTGGAAGAGAGAATCACCAGTTTACCAGAAAGGAATCAATCTTTACAATCTTACTGCCGGTATTTACAGTGTGTTGTTATATCATAAGTGAAATAAATGTTAGCTTTCACTCATGGGTCTGTAATTGTATGCCACAAATCTGTATCCAGGAGTTAAGTGAGAGGTTTTTTTCTATTATAGGTCTGGTTTATTTTACAAGCCTATTTTTATTAGGTGCCACTTAGAAATTGCCATGTGAATGTTCATGAACTTACCCAAAATGACCCTTATTTCTTGTGGGTCATTAGAACTCCTGCTTTGTCAAAGAGAGGACCTCATTACCCCAATTTTTTGTATCCTGCATATGGTATTCCTGAGCACAGATTTTTGAAAGTTTTGCCGATAATTGGCAGATAATTTTGCAGATAATTGATAATTTTGCAAAAACAGAGAAAACATTCAATGCCACTGTGTGCCACTTGTGTGTCTACTGATTCCTACGTGGTGATTGCTAAGGACAGCTTCATTGTCTGAAGGCTTGCAATAAGTATGATTCTTGGATTAGTCACTATAAGTTCCTTGCTAACCGCAAGGTTTATTATTTGTTTTTGCATCCCAGTTTCAATTCTGATACTCCTGAATACTGTCGTAGTTGAGAATCCTGAGAACTATCTGAAGGGTTTGCATGGTGATCAGGTCTCCACAAGACCCACTTTGGTATGTTGCTATCCTGAGGCTTTGGCTGATTCCAGACTGAAGCTCCAATGGAGGATGATAACTTCTTGCCCAAACTAATAGGGTTCACATTGTGTGTTTTCATTAGTTGTAAAAGAATTAAAATAGAGAAAAGAAGCTGTAGAACCTAATGCAACTCCAGTTTAGAATATGGTATATAGAGATATGGTGTATTGGGGTTGACAAATAGATACCTTCATATACCCTCTGTGTCCTCCTAGTCATTCTGTGAGTATGTTTGAAACATCTGATTCAGAGGTCTAGTTTTCCTTATAATTACAGCTTTGGTAAAAAAGCAGTATTATCAACTTTGGTTATTTAGGAATGTGTTGCTTAATTTCCACGTTTGTGAATTTCCCAAACTTAAAACTTTTGTTATTGATTTCTAATTTCATCCATTGTGGCATGAGAGCATACTTTGTATTGTTTCATTCTTTTTAAATTTATTTGAGACTTGTTTTGTGGCTTACATGTGGTCTATCCTGGAGAATGTTCCATGTGCATTTGGGAAGAATGTGTATTCTGCTGTTGTTAAGTGGAGTGTTCTGTAGATGTTTGTTAGGTCTGTTTGGTTTATAGTGCTGTTCAAATATTCTGTTTCCTTCTTGGTCTTCTACCTGGTTGTTCTATTATTGAAAATGAGATATTGAAATCTCCCACTATTATGGATGAATTGTCTTATTTCTCCCTTCAACTGTGTTGGTTTTTGCTTTATGTATTTTGAGACTCTGTTGTTAGGTGCACTTCTACTTGTTATGTCTTCTTGATGGACTGAGCTTCTGATCATTGTAAAATGTCTTTCTTTGTCTCTAGTAACAACTGTTGCCTTAAATTCTATTTTGTTTGATATTAGTAGATATATATGGTGATATTAGCCACTCCAACTCTCTTTTCGTTAGTTTGCCTGCTATAATTTTTCCCTCTTTTGCTTTCAACCTATTTGTGTCTTTGATTATAAAATGTGTCTCTTGTAGACAGCATGTAGTTGGATCATTTTTTAAAATCCATTCTGCCAGTATCGGCCTTTTGATTGCAGTGTTGAATCCATTTCCGTGTAATGTAATTACTTATAAGGTAGAATTTATGTCTGGTCATTTGCTATTTGTTTTCCATATGTATTTTGTTTTTTTTCTATTTCTCTATTATTGCCTTCTTTTTTGTTAAAAATGTATTTTCTAGTGTACCGTTTTAGTTCCCTTGTCCTTTATTTTAGTATTTTTCAAAGTTATTTTCTCAGTGGTTGCCATGGGATTACAATTAGCATCTTAATTTATAACAATCTAGTTCAGATCAGTATACAGTATTTTAACAGTATACAAAATTTTTGCTCCTATATAGCTCCATTCCCTCCCCTTCCTTGGTGCCATTATTGTTTTACAAATTACATCTTTATACATCACAAGCCCATCAACACAGACATATAGTTATTGCTTATGCAGTTGTCTTTTAAATCAGATAGGAGAAAAAAGTATTACAAACAAAAATGCATTTATATTTTCTTTTATATTTACCTATGTAGTTCCCTTTACCAGTGTTTTTTACTTCTTTGTGTGGATTTGAGTTACTGCCTAGTGTCCTTTCATTTCAGCCTGAAAGACTCCAGTTAGTATTTCTTGTAGGGCAGGTCTGCTAGTGAGGGATTCTCTCAGTTTTTATTTATCTCATAGTGTCTTAATTTCTCCTTAATTTTTGAAGGAAAATTCTTAGTTGATAGTCTTTTTATTTCACCACTTTGAGTATGTCATCTCACTGCCTTCTGACCTCTATGGTTTTCTGATGAGATATCAGCTGTTAATCTCATTGAGGATCCCTTGAACATGATGAACATTCAACATAATCTCATTGAGGATCTCTTGAACATACACATCTTGCTGTGT